GACTTTTGTCGTGCTCCTAGGCCATCGTATTCATACCATATCGTGGCTTTCAACATCATCCATGGGTTTCTAGATTCGCATAATAACTTATTCACTCGGAACCAAGAATTACTTATGGACTCGGAACCGAGAATTCTTGTGTTTCAATCCTAATGTCATAAAATTCCCGAGTTCTTGTGAATTTATCATAGGTTTCATCATGCCTTTGTAGAACATTCGATTCATCGCCAGAAATCCGCAAAATTCCTTTATTCACCAAACGAGTCTTTTGAGTACATGGATATCGGCTTCTTCATTCCATTCTTCTTCTTGAAATCCCAAAAAATTCTTCAGAGCAAAAAAAAAAAAATAAATAAATAAATAAATAAATAAGTGAACTAAAAAATGTGTCTGCGTAGTGTAGTGATTCGCTCCACTAACCCTGCAAAGGTTATTTTACAGCGAATGTGAATCGAACTCGACGGAGAATTTGGTTTTTTCTAAATGTTTGAGCCCAATCTTGCAAATTACAAAGAGGCCGAAGGTAATGCATTGCCTGCGGCCCAACTAATCGTTGTGGAGTTGATCTCCCCATCTCTCCAATAGAAAGAAGTTGGAGTTGGTGTTTACTCGATGTGTTTTGCCAATTGTTCAGTTTTCATCCCAGTGCGTGATGCTAAATTTTCTCAAAGAGGACGAACTGGTAATCTGTGGATGAAGTGTCATCAGGAATTCGGAAGTAAGTCCGGCTCAGTAATGAGAAGGTTAAGGAACATAGGGAAAGCGCAAGTATGGAATTAAATCAGTCCGGTGTTAAAATTCTGCCCATGACACATATTGCTTGTGACTTGAGGTAGTATTGCTACAGTTAAGAGGAGAGCATGTTAGTATTAACCTAGTCATAGTTTCCACATAAATAGCATTTTAGCAGTATATTCAACTGCCTTGTGTTCCTCGAAGTGGTGTAACTCTCTCTATAAAGAGTGTGGCCTATGCAATACTCATTTAGAATGCTGGTTCAGGAAAGCGCGACCTGTGAGAATTGAGAATATTGAGCTCGAATGCCTTCGATGGCTCATCGGTGGCGGACCACGGCGCTGTGAAAAATGCTATTATATTATGACTATTGGAGGCGACAATTTTCCACGCTCTATGCATGCACCCACATCCATCCACATCCATGGGCTATCGAGAGAGCGCCAGCTTCGGCAATCAGCTAGATGGACGAAAGCACGTCGAGAAGCCGGTAATCCTATTCATCGATCAAATAAGTGCGCTTGCGCATAGATTCAGTGACTTTACTTTGGACTTTGAAGCGATTCACACGTACCTATCAAGCCGCTTTGAGTAGGGCCCGCAAACATGCTGTCAGAACGAGGCCTTCGAGTGGCGAGGCACTAGGTTGTTTTTTTTTNTTTTTTTTTGTCATAACATGGCTCAATCGCATTATCTCCTTGGAATCGAGGGTTGTTTACATCGAAAACCATTTCCTGACTTTCTTCCCGCCGTTAGGGATACAACACCCTTTATAGTTTGCTATCGAGTCAGTAAAGTTCACTAACACACCGTCAAGGTTTCATCGGTCGGAACCTTACCCTTTCAAAAAAAAAACTTCTCTATTTGCAAATACAATACAAGGGAGGCGCTATTTGTGTGTGTCACATATGACTCCATATCACACCGTTTCCTATGTTACTGTCTTCTTGCACCCGTATCTCTGGGGACTTGCAGCTTCGTCTTATGTACTGATTTCAAAGTGATCAAAACTTATTCGCTAAACATGTGGAGGAGGGTCATTAAGCTTCGAGTTCATATCGAGCTCTTCCGAGTTCAAAGGTGCAGCTCACAATTAAAGTAGTTTCCGAGATTGCTCCCGAGTGTAAACTCTTTGACTTCTAAGGTTAGCACATGGGACGCTGTTGAGTCAGAAAAAGGGAAAAGATAGAACGTAGTAAGGGTCCCAGAACCGGCTTAACGAACGTACACGCGTACAGCTTACAGTAGTCGGCTGTACATAATTGCACACAGATTTGGACAGTTCGTCCAAAAAATTCAACCAGACAAATTTCGTAGTTACATTCCACCAACCCCTAACTTTGCTGCTCTTTATAGGCCTCACGTTTCTCTGAATACGCTGATTTTCGCGTTTTGATCTCCTCTTTTGCATTGGTCTATCATTTTCACTACTCGTCTAGCCTAGATACCCAAAAATCACCGTGAACTGTGTCTAGCGAAACTGTGAGGTACTTAAACTCTTAGAAGGTATTACCGCAAACGCATATGTTTCCATTACAAACACTTGTTTAGTTTCCAGTTCTACTGTCTCCTGAGATGTTGGGTCAATTCATCATCTACTTTACTGTTTCTGTGAAAAGAAAACAAATGTCTAGAGACTTTAAATGGATGGTAAGAGAGACCGAAGTAATCTGAACGTGAGACAATTTCACCCCCAAAACTGAAGAAACTCGTACTTTCTACTCTCTCAGAGAAAATCTTCTTTCTTTTCATTCTTTGGAAGTGATGCTACCAATGAATTGACTTCCTCGATAACGCCATCCAGCGGATTCACCCAAGTGTATTTGGGAGCAGTTTGGAAGCAACTTCTTTCTTAGAATCCAGAACAATGATGAAATTTCCGACTGATTGAGGAGAGCACAATAATCGCGTTTTTGAGCCCATTCAAGCGAATGTTTTTTGTTTCCCAGTAGACCCCAATCCATGTACTCGCATTCTTGTAACACTTATATATTAGAAATCCACTTCCTCAGAATGAAATCTCTAGCACTGTCGATGAAAACAACGAAAGCTGGAAGGACAGCTGTAATGTTGCAGCCCGCAGTGTGACGATTATGTACGCAATAAAAAGTTCTTATTCGGATAAATGGCTGCCATTCTCGGAGAAACTATGAGGGCTAGCAGTTTTATGCATGGAAGAGAGAGAAATTCTGAATATCTTAGTGTAAGGAGGAACGTCGGGAAAAACCTGTATTCTTCGTGCTCAGAAGGGATTCAAAGCTCCATGATTTTTAAGCAGTACTCGAGTTGATATTGGTGAGGTGAATTGTGGGTTGTGGGCTGAATCTCGGCCTCGGACAGGACTTTGGATATTTGGATTGTATCAAGATACCAGCAGCCAATTAAAACTTCGGGTCAAAGAAGGGTTTGAGTCGTCGTAGCTCGGGAGAAAGAAGCGAACAATTAAAATGTCTACTGTGAAGTGTTTTCTTTCAGAAAATCTACTACATTGTCGTGAAGGATAAAGTCTTTCAGCTTCAATCTATGAATTGCGATCAATGGTTCGAACCAGTGACCTTGCGAAAGTGATTGTGGCACTTGCCACAAAACCATCCGGTAAATGGTAAATCATATGACCAATAGTCTGTGTCATATCATTTAGCACCAAGAAAGGAAAATGTTCCAACAAAGAATACTCCGGAATTCCAAAACATTCCAATAAAGGATATTCCAACATCTACACTGGCTGTGATTCGAATTGAATTTCAGGCTAACGCAGGGGGAGCGACCAGCATTCAGCGATATTTTTGTTCTAGTTGTAAACAACGTGCACACTTTTTCAGAATACTTGTGTGATCAAAAAAGCTGATCGTTTTTTGTCCAAATTTGAGTGTTCTGGGGAACCAAGATGCCTTTGATCTATACTTCATTCAACCTGAACAGCTTTATGACAAAGCCGAAGCTTTGCCCAATAATTCTGTACGATTTTGAGCGTGGCTACAAAATTCAAGACCTGTATTAAACGACTACGTGGAGTCGTTTTCACGGCGACTACGTGGAGTCGTTTTCACGGCAACAGTTAGTTGGATCTGTTTCGATTAAAAAAAAGTTTCACGGCGGATTGTAAAAGAAAGATTGAGTTTTTTAGTTCGAAGTAAATTTATGCAAAAATATTCAGAACTGCACTATTCTGAAGGGTATGGAAAGCTTCACACGGCGAAAATGGATGGACGGAGACTCATATCTTCTCTAGAGGGTCCATATATTTGAGATGAATCCCATTTCGGAATTTCTCTCTTCATCGTCACGTGGTCATTCGCTACACTGTGCAGTAACTCATCGAACTCATTGCATATAATGGGTGAAGAGACAGGGTCTTCCTGGATGATGAGGGAATCCATCACAGGTGAAAATCGGCGTTTTTAGAGAAATATGAGGCTTCGAAAAATAAGTGAAACTAGGGGTTGGACGGGAATGTGACGACAAAATTGCGTGGAAGGGATATTTGGACGAACTGTCTGAATGCTTGTGCCATTACAGCACAGCTGGCTACTGTAAGCTGCCCGCGTGCATCGTGTGCAGCTGCATGCGTGTGTGCGTCCAGGTGATAAAAGTGCAAGCTCTACATTCTCTACAACGTCATGAGAACTCGTCCTCCTTCGCATGTGTACCGCGACAGAGCCTGTGTTGAGCCCCTTATCACGCATTTTTGGTCGTTTTTCGACCGACGGCGCTCCTCAAACTATTTTTGGGGGTCACAGGTTCATCTCAGGAAGAAATGGTTGAAGCCGTTTCTATTGTGAACTGTACTTCTAACTCGGATAATGATGAAATTCTCGGCTTGTATAGAGAGGCCCCGAACGCGTGTGCAATCAAAGCGATAATTATACAGGAACTCGATTGACAATCGCAGAGGATTTTTGCCCACAATGTCAAGAGCGGCAAATATATCAATTCTGAATTTTTAATATTGGACATCGTGGACAACAAGTTATAGCCTCCGGTTGTTGGAAGTATGGTGAGCTCGGGGAGCGGATTATCTTTCTGCAGTCTTCCTTACTCCTTTCCTCCCGTGCGTGGAAGAAAATAAGTTCCAGAAGGATGATTCCAAGGAAAAGTCGCCTGAAAAGAGTGGTACTAACATTGAGTGTCGGAATGGAGAACAAGAACTCTTCTTCTTCTCCCTAGCATTAATCCCGCGCCGCAGGATTCGCTGTTCTCGTCCGCCCACTCCCCTTCTTTTTATCAACGGCATCTTCAGCCGTTTCTTTAGCTTTGACGAAGTCCTATTCGATCACGTCCCGCCATCTCTTCTCTAGGACTCCTCGTGATCGCTTACCCTGAGCTTCCAACTTCATTGCTTCCTTGATCAGATGATTTTGTGGTCTTCGGAGCACATGCCGAAACCATCGCAGGCGCTGCTCTCTTATCTGCAGCTGAACTGGGGCTGTTTGCATGGCCGCCCTGACGTCTTCATTGCTGATCCGATCTTGCCGCGTTCAACCGCATACTGGTAGATTCTCTCCACTTCATCCATGCCGCGTTCATTCGAGCTTTTACGGCCTGGTCCTAACATCAGCAGCCAAATCACTCCCTAGGTATCGGAATTCATGAAACTTCTCCATGGCTTTTCGTCACCGCCGACGATTGATTCTGTGCACTCATCGGAGCTGAGGAACTTGGTCGTCTTCACGTCCAGCCGGAGCATCTTCTGCACCAGCACTTGAGTCCGGAGCAGTTCCTTTCCCAACCTTTTTCTTCCCTTTTGCTCTAAGCACCTCATCCTATAACCAGGGTGCGATGCCCCTGGTTCGGGACTGTCTTTACGGGCGGATTCTTCGTTTAGGAGTTCGTCGAAGTATTAATTTCACGTGCGCCTGACTTCCCCAGACCAGGAGCTATGCTTCATAATAGAATGCTGACGTTTATCTGGTTGCAATTCTTTTTGGGCCATTGACATTTCTCCTCTTAACTTTACACAGAAGGGCGGAGCTGATGTAGTGGCAAATGGCACACTATCACACACGTGGTCACGGATCAATCCTGTATCGATATCCACTTGGCCAACCAAGATTTCCATCCTTCCGTCAGTTGGTACCAGACTTATCTAGGAGCATAGAAGCAGTGACTGTACATTGGCTGTCCACCGCAATTCATTGAATAGGCCACATACGCATTTAAACGTCACTACGATTCTGAATAGAAGTCAAATGCAGGCCTCAGACGAGATTTATCGACACCTCAGACATTATCCTTATTCCTTATGATTCCACTCAGTATAATCAGACAGTCTGCTCATGAGACTCCAACAAAAAACAAGGTCTACACAACGGCTAATATTATTTGCGAACTGTTCGACCTTTCTTCGTTTCAGCATTAGATTGTATACAAAACAAACCGAAATGAACTCTTCTTCTCGAAACTCAGTTTTTGAGGTATTTCACGCTCTTTTTCGAGGGTTTGAGATGGGCTCTGTTGCCTATGAAAAGGTATTTTGTGCATCCATAGGGTATTTCTATATTGTATATTCATGGATTCCAACCCAATTCAAAGTGTATTCGTGCTGGAATTCCTTGAATCGCAAATAATCCAGGTCTTATGCAATGCTTTTTCTTGCACGCCGATAAAACTCGTACGGCTTTGGACGTATTTCCTCTAGAGTTGTGACGAGAATCTTAGATATATTTTCCCTACATCTCTATCACGCAATCAAAACGAACAAAATGATGAGGAGCGGAGAAGAGGTCGGTCCTTCGAAAATGAATCTCAAGAAAGGTTGCTATTCCTGATTAAATCTTTACTTCTTTGTCAGAAAGGCGGAGGAAGATTTCAGGTAGATGGATAGATCAAAGTTTCAGAAGTGACTTATGATTCATTAACCTCTAACTCACTTGAATACTGCCCCACTAGTAAGCCTTTTGCGAAAGAACGAAAGTGAAAGCTTTGTGATTGCGCCTCTTGAATGGCATTATCGACAACTTTTGACAGACAAACAGGAAACTACCTTTGAAGGGCTTCAATACTTTCGTTTCTCTGAGTTACTCGGCTTAACGGCAGAAAAAAACGTCGAGCAAGAACTGGGAGGGAACTAGTAAGTACATTGCGGAATTCTCGGTATCACAAGGATGGCGAGTTTGATCAAAACATTGGCCTCGAATGGACGCGAACTTTTACTTGTGCACATCTAACATTAGGCTCCTAACCGTGCACTACCGCCTCGGGAGACGGGTAGTTGGATCAGTTTTGTGTAGTCGATTAGCCGCACGCGGATGTTGCGCGCCATTCGCTTCGCCGATATTACAGTTCTAGAGTTTCTCATACAGCTCAGCCGATATGCGATCATTATTTTGGCATGATTCTACTGATAATTGTTTGCTGTACTTCTTACTGCTACTGCATTCTGCAACAATGCTCCGCGCGTAGCATCTTTCTTGCCGCGAAGCGACAATTCCGATTTAACTGCACTACATCCTCGAGCTCCGCTTGCCCTCGTCTAAGCCTAGCCTAATGAAAGGAGATTGTCCTATCTCCTAAATTACTCTTCCCTAGAAGGGAGAATGAAAAGGGTTTTATTTGGACAAAAGTATCAATATGGGGAAGAAGTTTTTTTATGGAATTGAATGAATTAAAGGTTTTTGAATTCACTTCTGGAATCGTTTATATGGATCGAATGTCAAATGCATATATATGAAAAGATCGAAAAGCTCTCATCAGTTGAGCAAATCAATGGCAATGATGCCTTTGGCACAGAAACAAGGATGTTGTGGCTCAGAGAGGTTATTGACTACCGTTTTCAGATAATCATATATTACGAATTCTATTACTGAGTGATCATTCTCTTCTAGGCGGAGCATGTGTGTACTAAAAGTGCAAGCTCTGAGGGATTTGTACGGTTAAGCCGCGTTCACGAAGAGTTGGGATTAATCTCGTTTGCCAGCAACTCATTATGAATGGATTCTTTAATGTCGCCACGTAAACTTAGAATCGCGTTTCCTTAAAGGCTGTCATCATCTGCGCCAATATGGTCCAACTAATGCTTGAACTATTGTTGAATATGTCACACAAGCAAAAACGAGGCCTTGCTATGGGTGATCGTATATCACCTGTGTTCATCTTCCTGGACCACATCGATAAGTCATCAATGACTAGTGGAAACCTGTTCTACAAATGTGATATTGATGGCATATTCATCATTGGAACAACGAAGGACCTTGTAGAAACCTGAATGGAGTCAACTCTCACGATACTAGCATAGCCTTCACAAGCGAGGATCCAGGGAAGGATCGATCTCTAACATTTCTCAATGCGAAAGTACGAATTAGTGAAGGTTCCAAGGAACACAACACAGAAGGTTGATATCGAAAAGTGCTTCGTCTAACATCTTGATGCATTCTAGAAGCGCACATCCTATTTATCTGAAGGCAAACGTCATGCGGAATCTTTTGAAAACGTGGAAGAAGCCTGAAAACAAAGGGATTCGCTTGTTGATGCTTAAGGTATTCTCGATAGTAGTGGATACTTTGAAGCCAATACGAGGACCTGGGTCCCACAAAGAACAGCTGAGAGAGTGAGTTTCATTGTGCCTTTTGTTAACGACAAAATGGCACGTTCTTCACGAGGTGAACCACCTCGTGAAGAACTACAAGCTCACCATTCGACTTGTTTTCCGACCTTCCTCTACACTGAAAGATCTCCTGACATCTTCTTGAATGTTCGAAAAACGGTGCCGCTAGCAGTCTATCGCTACTGTACATTTAAAAGATCTGCGAACATGAAGGCGCCGTCTGTTCGGTTTAATGTCGAGGATATGGAAAGAAGTACGTAAGGGAGACCGCGAAACCCTTGAAGATCCGTCAGAACGAACACAGAAAAGCATTGGCCAATCCCGCCGCTTATCTACACAGCAGTTTTTCAGGCACTGTACACTCAAACAAGAAAAAGAGAGCGCTCCATCCTCGATGTGAGAGTTTTGCTTAGATATTTGGTACGGCTCCTGGGAAAATTATGGAAGCACGGGAAATATACCGTATCAAGCCGGAAATCAACGCAAAGGAGAAGATGCGTGACCTCCTGAGGCTGATTGAGTGATAACACTCTGTCACCTCAGGAGAAAAACGGTGTTCCACTTCTCTTTGAAGTTCCACGCCATTAGGTCCGCTCTCCGCTTCACCATTATTTCCGGTTGGTTCGATAGGATTCGATGTCTTCTATGTAATAACTGATTATTGTCTAATTTTTTTGGTAACTACGGATTGTAAAGACAAAAAAGACATCATATGCCGAAAGCTAACCAGTAAAGTGAAGTTTAAGGAGCCTTGAGAATACATATGAAAAACGACGAGAAATAGTTGTTGACCGTTAAACGTTGATCAGTGCTCTAAAGTACAGTTCACGATGAAAATGGTTTCTGAGGTATCCCATTAGCTCGAATCTGTGGCCTCTCAGTATAAGCCATATGTAGCGCTCTTAGATCGGAAAACGGCCTAGATAGGGCATTATAGTGATTAAAAGATTGTACTGGCCGTATGTCTCCTCCAAGCTGAATGAGTTTTACCCGACTGCACCATTCACGAGGGCCAACCGCGTTGAACTTCAAACATCTAGTCATGGCCCACGATGAATTGAACATTTTTGGCTAAATGTCATCAGCTTTTCAACGAAAATGTAACAACTGGAATCTCGACCCCTTCCATGTCATTTGCGTAATTGCGATCTGGTACGACCTCTATTTTCACTACTTCTGCAGAAAATTTTCTCGCTTTTTCCGCCACCGATGCACTACTTTCCACTAACGCTTTCACTTTTCAACTTTAAAAGAGTACCCCAAAATTCGTGAACTACGCCCTTAAGCTGATGCACTGCAAACTACTTCTACCGCTGCACCTCGGTAGTATATTTTTTAGTGATTTGAAGAGCTGTGCGGCTGCACTGGACAAACGTTAAGAAAAAACAGCTAAGACTGTTGGTCCCCATTCGCCTCTTTTCATTTACACATAAGCCGTACGGCGTCTCCGGTTGCATTCCAGAATTATAATGCGTTGTTTTCGTACCAAGCGCATACACGCAAAACTCCCAAAATAACATGTTGCTCCAAAAGCCGCTCCGAGAGCGTAAACGTCTCACCTAGCTTCAACGTCTCACCGTCTCACAAAGCTTCTTCTTGACCACATTCCCCTAGAGGCACAGTTCACGATAGCTTTGGGGTATCTAGTTTTGGACGAATAATCGAAGTAATAGTCCAAAAAAGTGCAAAGGTGGCGAAGAAAACGTGAGTATCGGCATATTCGAAGAAAATATGAAGCTTCAAAAAAGTAATCAAATCGCGAAAATGTGACGACAAAATGTGCATGAAGGTATTTGGACGAACTGTTCAATTGAGTGTATTGCGTAGCTGACTACAGCAAGTTTCCTGCGCGCAACGAGTGCGTCCTGGTGCGAATGGTGGAACCTATACAACCACGTCAGAACTCGCCCACTTTTGTGTGCACGTCGGCTGAGCCGATCTTTGGGTAGTCGTTACGCTCTGTCTAGGCCGTTTTTCGACCCTTATGCCCTAGGCCGTTTTTTGACCCTTATGCTATCTTTGAGAGCTACAGGTTCACACCAGGAAGAAATCATAGAAACCACTTTCATCGTGAACTGAGCCTTCAGCTATCTTTGCTATCTGTTTGTTGAGCAAGTTTACGGGTCATGAATGTTTAATTGTGAATTGTTACGTACTACTACAAACAATTATACGTAACTATTCATAAACCTGATATTTTCAATTTTCTATCACAATAAGTCGCAAAAAATAAGTGGTGCGGTCCTCTCCGCTATTTTTTTGAACATATGGAAGGTGTTTCAAAAGGAAACAAGTCTTTGACTCAAGAATCTCTCGCTTGAAAATGTTCGTAAATACAATCAGTGTTGCTAGTCGAGATAGAATTGAGAAACAGCAGGGGATTGTTAAAGAATTGTTCTTTTTTGAGTTGAGGACATATCAAAGAAGCTGTGCTCAGAAGCTTGTTTCAATCAAAAGTTTACGTTCTGCTCATTTCCACTCGATTCAACAGTGCTTTGAACGAATCCCATAAAGAGAAGATCAGAAAAATCCGCAGCAGTTTAAAAAACACCTCGACCGGCAGACTATCGTAATTAAGTAGAAACCTTACCCAGCAGGTTTTTTGAAAACAGAATCCTTTCAGTATTGACGATGAGATGAAACGGGGACGAGTCACACAGAGGTAAAGATAGCTTGACACTTCACTAGGTCCTCATTAGCGTTTCAGTGTCACTGCACCTTTTTAGCAGCGGAAAAGAGAGGAATGACAGAGAAGGAATGAGGTTCAGAAAAGTGCATCTAACTCTTTTGATTATGCTCTCAATAAGATTAGAGGCTGAGAGTAGTTGCTGGATGTTCGTTATTTCTTTGAAGGCTGATGAAATTGGGAGTGTTAATTTTATGTAGAACGTTCTACCAAAATGGAGTTCTGAGAGTCACGAGTAAGTTTTCATCCTCATACTTGAGACAACACTTATCAAGGCAGTGAAGACTTCCATAGGAACAAAGTGAAAGGGGAGTTCGCGTAGCCTGATCTTCGGACTCATTTCCTTCACATTTGCACTGCCCGCTTCTTCTCTTCTAGGGTACTTGTTATTCCGAACGAACTCTGACATGGAGTGAGCAGAGCATTGAACGAAAATCGCTTGGGCATGTGAAAGGGATGAAAGCACCACAGTATTCTTCACTGTCTCATGTGTTCTTGATTAGCTGGGCGAAGCTCGATTTCTTGAGATGGGATCTTTCGCGTGTGTGCTGCAAATGGTGTTGTGTGATATAGCACTCGAGATGACGAATCGCGTTCGAAAACCTGTATAAACCATACAAATACGAGTTCATGAGAAGGAATCGGATCTTACAACAAAATAACTTTGTGAACAGTGCACTGTGCAGATTTAAATTCTACCTCTATGACGCACTTACATACAGCCTAACATCCAGGTGCGTGATGGGTACTATGATTAATGTGAAAAGGATCTAAGTAGCTCACAAAAAAAAACTCCCAGAAGATGTAACAGAGGAGCATTGAGTGAAAGTTGATAATTAGACCCGATCACCAGAACATAGCAACTTAACTCTTATAAACAAAACCCGCTTAGCAGGGGAATCGCGTTCGAAAACCTGTATAAACCATACAAACGATGACTAGTTTAGCGGAGGTCCGTTCTTATGCTTAGATTACGTAGAATTTTAAAGTTGGAGACTTTCGCGAGAGTCTTGAACTTCGCAGAAACTAATTCTTATAGCATCAGCAACGTAAAAGTATGTAGCAATACACCGTCGTGTTTTCTTCGATAAACCTCGTAAACAGGATCATTTCCCCCTTTCAAGCTTACACCACAGTCGTAGTATTAAAAAAGCAATGACCTACCTGTCAAAGTGAAAATCAAAGGCGCAGTTCACGACATTTTTGTGGCATCTAATTTTGGGCGAACAATGGAACTGTTAGTCCGGAACTATGCAAAAACGGCGAAGTACACAGGAAATTGGAGCGCATTCAGAGAAGTATAAGTCATCAAAAAAGTCGTAAAATCAGAGGCTGAAAAAGAATAGGACCATAAAAGTTGCATTGAAGGGGTATTTGGACGAGCTACTCAAATGTATGTACGATTGCGTACGGCATCTTTCATAGTCCACGATTTTGCGGCGACCAGTCGCTCGCGACCGGTGGGGCGACCGGTCGCACGACTGGTCGTGGACTATGAAAGCAGCCTACAGCTCGCTACTGTAAGCAACCTGCCTGCAACGTATGGGTCTGGCGAGAGAGGTGCAAGCTCTACATCCTCTGCAACGGTTGAAGAACTCGTCCGCTTTCGACCCAACAGCGTCCCTTGGGGTATCCTTGGGAGCAACAGGTTCTTATTAGGGAGAAACCTTAAAATCAATTCTGAGCGCGAACTGTGACTTTAAGGCTATGCCACCATTCATAATGAAGCCCCCATTTTGAAAATTCGGACAACTGGTCCTGATCCATTGCGAAAGCGGAAGGTAATTTTCGACATTTCCGGCTCACTGCGGCCAGCACTAAACGCTGAAGCCTACAACCGACAGCTTGTTAGAATACCTCTACGATACCCCTTCTGTCGTCATAATCACCTACAAATTCCTTCCATTCTACTCTCTAGAAGCTTTTTTCTCTTAGTTCTGCCAATTCAGCAGTTTATTCGTCGCCTTTGCACTGT